AATGGCTTGGCATTCTTGTGGGAAATATCTTTTATCCATCTCTGTCTCCATGGAACATTATGATGCAGAGTTTCCTCACAGTTGTAATTACACTTTTTTCCAGACGTTTATTTCCTGGAAGGTCACAGTTCATTTTCCCCATTTCTTGCAGAAAATAGTGTAACGCTTTTGCATTAGAGGCTGTGAGTGTTGTTTTTCAGCAAATATTCAGTCACTTGAGACAGGATTTTAGATGTGAGGAAAATGAAGAATAAACTAAAAATTAGTCTCTCATATTTTCTTGTAACGTGAGTAAAAGGCCCATTATATAAAGTGTTTACACTTAAGCCATTTTATTTGTATGGAGATTAAGAGGCCACATAATATAGAAAAAACCCATATGAGAGCTGATCATGTTTTTATGAAATGAAATTAGGTCTGTACTACACCATTTGATTTGCCTCTGCTCAATAAATGAGTCTTGCCTTGCTTGTCATGAGTGAGATCTCAGGGTATCTGATCTCCTATGGAAGGTTGCTTCTGTTTCAGTTGTCCCAGTGCAGGTACAGTTCTCATACACACGTGTGATGTTTGCAGCTGTGAGGAGGAAACTTCCATTGGCATATGTGCTCACCCAAGCACACTTGTCTGTAGGGTAATAATGCAAAAGCATCTCTACTGCAGCCCTCAAAGTGCAGAGTGGCCACTCAGCCAAGTCAAGGTCTCCATGAACAGACCAGGCATCAGTGTCAGAACCCGTCCATGATGTCACCCACATGGTCCCCCAAACAGTGCTGGCTGCTCAGTTGTGTTTGACAGGTGGACTGCTAGATGGATGAGGAACTGGCTGGATGGCTGTGCTCAGAGAGTTTTATTCAATGGCTCAGTGCCTATTTGGAAAATACTAGTGTGATGTTCTTCAGAGGTCTGTACTTGGACCAATATATTGAGTATCTTTATCAGCGACACAGCTAATTGGATTGAGTGTACCCACTACAAGTTTGCAGAAGACACCAAGCTAAGTGGTGCCACTGATTCACTAGAGGGATGGGATGTCAGAGGGGACCTGGACAGGCTGGAGGAGCGGACTCATGTCAACCTCATTGCATCTGGGTCAGAGCAATCCCATTCCCAGACAGACTTGGGGGATTGAGAGCTGCCTTGAGGAGAAGGACTTGTGGTACTGATGGGTGACAAATGGGATATGAGCTGGCAATGTGTTCTTGCTGTCTAGAAAGCCAATCATATTCTGGGCTGCAAAACAAGTACTGTGGCCAGCAGGAAAGGGGGTGTGGTTTTGTATCTCACCATGTTTTTGTGAGACCTGTTAGAGTACATCCAGAGAAGGACCATGAAAATGTTCAAAGGGGTGTAACATCTTGCTATGTCAATGGGCTGAGAGAGGCCCTTCAGCCTGGAGTAGAAAAGGTGCAGACAAGTCCTTATTGCACTTTTTAATATATAGAATAGGGTAAAACTATTATGGAGAGAGACTTTTAACAGGGCCAGTCTTGATAGGACAAAGTGAATTGGTTGGAAACTGAAAGAAGGTAGGTTTGGAGTGGTCATAAGGCAGAAAAGTTTTTCAATGAACCGGTTGAGACATGGAAAGAGGTTGTCCAGAGAAGGTGCTGATGTGCCATAATTGAAAGGCTTGAAGGTCTGGATGGATGAGGCTTTGAGAAACCTGACACCTAGTGTGCTGTGGACTACATGATATTTTAAGGTCCCTTCGTACCCAAAACATTGTCTGGTTCTAGGAAAAGCCTTTCCCATTGTCAGTCTCTCTCAAATAAAAACAAGAAAAGAGAAAACTTTTGTGAATCAGAAAAAAAGGTAAGGTTTAGGGTGATTTCTTTCTGAGGGTAATTGTTCTCATTAAAAGAAAAGTTAAAAAATGTAAAAATATCATATTTGCATAAGAAAAAATATGTGCATAAATGTAATATATTTGAAAAAGAAAAATAAAGAAATACATGGAATAAAAGAAATATTTTGCAGGCCTGATGTGACAGGATTCCAAGGACTTTTCCTTCAGTTCGTTGTTGATTGTTCTTGAGTGTTCCAACATGAGTATTAGCCTCTTGATATTCGTACAGATTAATGAAAGAGTACAATTCTGGACAGTGCTCAGGAGCATTTCATGTCTTCCCTAGCTGTACTATGATTTCTTGCACCTAGATTTTATTAAGAGCAGGTGCTTTGCTTTCCTTATTTCTCTGCCATGTATATTTGCTTCTGGTTATTCACTGAGACTCAATGAGATGAACGTAAAAGGACACGAAAGCGCATCTCAGTTAAAAAGGCAGCTGGAGTTGAATAAGGAGCGTGAAGCACTTCTGCGCTTGCTGATTGGAATCGAGCAGAGACCCCAGCGCCGGCGCAGCCCCAGCCCGGCCCCAAGTTGGTCCCCGCCGAGCGCGGCCGTGAGGCGGCTGCAGTGTCGTGTCGGCGCCTCCGGGTGCCGCTGTTGGGCCGCCGCCGAGCGTTGCTGGAGCC